TGCCCCGTAGCAGTATTTCTGCAATAGGGCAGTCGGGAAGCCATTAAAAAAGGCCAAGTTCCTGGATGCTAAAATGCTCACATGTTTTAGTATCAAATATTCGTAGCAACTGCTCCATTGGTTGGAGGGGATTATTCGTCATTCCCGGGCTTTGTCTGTCTTTGGGGTTATATCACAGTCTTCCGCAGGTCATAAGTGAGGACACTGATTGTAGATGAATAAGGAAAGATTAATAAGATGTGGGCAACTTACTTGGTTGCAATATTAATGACGGACAACAGTGAGAAGGCAGATCTAAGACAGAATCCTGAGAAAGCCAGAAACCCAACACCCCTATAGACTCAGCATCTGTAAAAGTGCTCAAATATTTGGTTCTCATTTAAAAAGGATGAGAATTTCTGAACAGAAGGATATAAATGACCAGCTCTTGTCAACTTTCCTCATTTCAGGAGACATTGTGAGTAGTATCCTTATCAATGAGCACCTGATCACATCTGGTGATTTGGAATTGAAGGTGGAATTGCCACAAACCTACCCATGAGTCCATACTGCCAGATGTGAACAGGGCCTTACATACTAGTATTAAACAATCCCTGTGTGTTTAGGGTTGCTTCAAGCAGCTGTATGGAAGCCCTAAAGCACCCGTCAGTATGCTGGCTGTAGATTTATTCAAGATTTCGCAGTTTTGACAGCTTTAGAATAGAAATAGAGAGCTTAAGGCTCCATGCACCATGGCTTAAAAAAACACCACTGCTCTTGGCACAAAAAAGTGCTAATTATGAGCATTTTTTGTACTAGCGTTTAGGACCGTTTAGCATTTTCTTCTGCCAGGAAAAAACGTAAAACATAAGGGGTTTTTTTTTCTACCTCTGAACACTGAGCTTAAAAAATGCATGTAGACTACCTAATGTGCATGGACACACAGGATAACATTAGTTGCTTCTATAGACAAAATGCTAAACTCTTCTAGAAGCAGTATTTTTGTAAGCCCAGTCTGCATGAAGCCTATATTGGATGCCCACCAAAACCTTTTTTTTAAGTTTTGGATATGGGATGGATTAGAAGCTCTGTTTGGTTTTTACTACAGAGAGATTTACCCTTACTTGGTGTTCCACTAAGTCATCATCAGACAGGAATTTAGTGAGGCACTGACAGAGAAAAAAAAAAATAGACAGATAGATTGATAGACAGACATATAGATGATAAACAGCCAGCGCGCCAATTGCAAATCCAGATGGTAACATTTACTGAAGTCCCATACCAGTAGAACACATACTGTATATAGTCATTCTGGGGGCACCGCAACCCCCTTTATCAAGGTGACCAGCATAGCTTTTAATTTATTTCAGTATCCTTGTTGCAGATTTTCCCTCCCTTCCTGTCTGGTGAAACTGTCACTATGATGTTAGTTCAGGGAACATTTCTCTAAAGGAGCCCTGATAGCAGTCAAAATCTGACAGGTTCTAATCTATAAAAAAAAAAAAAAAAGGTTTTCGCTAGACATACACCTTTTATTGATGTAATTCTATTCAGTCACCCACAGTGTACAAAGCAATGCAATCAAGTCACTCTCTTGCTAGCAATACATCAAACTTTGGATGCTGCCATCTGATACCCTGCTATGGGTACTTCCTATGGTTCACCAGAGGCTGCTAGGGGTTCCTTGGCTTGTGATTAATTAACCCCTCATTTTATGATGTCTTCATAATTCCAGAGCCAGTGCCACATGGCAGAGCTGGCAGCATGACACCAGTGATCTTTTTATCTGTCTGTAAGAGATCATTTACATTAGTGTTGCCCTCTAAAGAGCAATCCAGATCGCTTTTCAGAGGGCATTTAACAGGAGGCTGATGCTATGTCACCATCTCAGGGCCTGTTTTAACCCCCAAAGGTCTACACCACTCAGCTGCATCTACATGCGACGTGGCCCCCTTCACTAGAATAGGTCACATTTGGTGGGTGGTATTGTCTGCTGCTTTTGACAGGGTGTATAAATCTTGCTGCTCCGCAAAGCAAATCATTGTGACAGCTGTAATTATACAACCCCATCTCGCTGACTTTGCAGTTTAAGGGGAGAGACCAGGGTGGCAAAAACATGGCTCAATTTTTTTTAACACCCCCCCAAACCTAACTTGAGGAGAGCAATCTAACCACCACTATAAGGTATACATTTTTCCTACTGACTAGGAAATATAACTATTTTTGCAATTGAACCCTAATGAACTGGATTTAGTAAGAGTTCCCTAAAACTTGAAAATTATTTTAGGTGTTACTCTGAAATGAAAAAGTTGAGAACAGGTTGGGGAAAGAAAGAAAGAAAGAAAGAAAGAAAGAAAGAAAGAAAGAAAGAAAGAAAGAAAGAAAGAAAGAAAGAAAGAAAGAAAAGAAAGAAAGAAAAAAGAAAGAAAGAAAAGAAAGAAAGAAAGAAAGAAAGAAAGAAGAAAGAAAGAAAAAGAAAAGAAAGAAAGAAAGAAAGAACAGGTTGGGTAAATCAAGAAAGAAAGAAGCAGAAAGAGAAAGAGAGAGAACAGGTTGGGTAAATCAAGAAAGAAAGAAAGAAAGAAAGAAAGCAGGTTGGGTAAATCAAGAAAGAAAGAGAGGGGGAGAGAGAGAGAGAGAGAGAGAGAGAGAGAGAGAGAAAGAAAGAGAGAGAGAGAACAGGCTGGGGAAAGAAAGAAAGAAAGAAAGAAAGAGAGAAAGAAAGAGAGAGAAAGAAAGAGAGAAAGAAAGAGAGAATGTTACGGGAGAAAGAAAGAGAGAAAGAAAGAACAGGTTGGGTAAATCAAGAAAGAGAGAGAGAGGGAGAGAGAGAGGGAGAGGGGGAGGGGGGGAGAGAGAGAGAGAGAGCAGGTTGGGTAAATTAAGAAAGAAAGAAAGGAGAGAGAGAAAGAGAGAGAGAACAGGTTGGGTAAATCGAGAAAGAAAGAAAGAAAGAAAGAAAGAAAGAAAAGAAAGAAAGAAAGAAAGAAAGAAAAGAAAGAAAAGAAAAGAAAGAAAGAAAGAAAAGAAAGAAAGAAAGAAACATGTTGGGTAAATCAAGAAAGAAAGAGATGAAGAGAGAGAGAGAGAAAGAACGAAAGAAAGAAAGGGTTGGGTAAATCAAGAAAGAAAGAGGGGGAGATGGAGGGAGAGAGAGAGGGGGGAGAGAGGGGAGAGAGAGAGAGAGAGGGGGGAGAGGGAGAGAGAGAGAGAGAGAGAGAGAGAGGAGGAGAGAGAGAGAGCGAGCAGGTTGGGTAAATCAAGAAAGAGAGGGAGAGAGAGGGTGGGTTGGGCAAATCAAGAAAGAAAGGAGAGAGAGAAAGAGAGAAAACAGGTTGGGTAAATTAAGAAAGAAAGAAGGAGAGAGAGAAAGAAGGAGAGAGAGAAAGGAGAGAGAGAGAAAGAAGGAGAGAGAGAAAGAAGGAGAGAGAGAAAGAAGGAGAGAGAGAAAGAATGGGTTGTGTAAATCAAAAAAGAAAGAAAGAGAGAGAGAACAGGTTGGGGAAAGAAAGAAAGAAAAAGAAAGAAAGAAAGAAAGAAAAAAGAAAGAAAGAAAGAAAGAAAGAAAGAAAGAAAACAGGTTGGGTAAATCAAGAAAGAAAGAAAATGGTAAATACATAAGGAAACTTGTAAGTGAATACCCTGAAGACAGTGTGGGGTATATTTACTAAAACTGGAGCACTCAGAATCTGTTGCAGCTGTGCATTTTAGCCAAACAGCTTCCAAACTTCATACATATAAAAGTGTATAAAATGTATTTGACCAATCAGATTATAGAGTGGTCAAAATCAGCTCAAGAATGATCATTAAGCAGCTGCTCCAGCATCCTCATAGCATCCAAATGTGGCTCAAATATTGTCTGCCCACTCTGTATTGACCATCAATGTATGCTTTGTCAGGCATATTATGATACTGTTCTGATCACGCATTGCTTTGATTATTTATACTCATTCACCAATACGGAGTGGGCGGACAATATTTGAGCCACATTTGGATGCTATGAGGATGCTGGAGCAGCTGCTTAATGATCATTCTTGAGCTGATTTTGACCACTCTATAATATGATGGTCAAATACATCTGGTAATCCTTCTCTGAGCACAGAGTGGGGTGACACGTGTTTGCACGGATAACGTTTGGTCATCTAGCAACTGAAGATTCACGTTTACACTTTTGATATACTTAATTTCTGGAATTGGGACTCACTTCTAATTTATCATTTTGTATATTATTTCTATATTGCATTGGGACATTTTCATATCTATCTTTACGGACAGACAGCTAGGATTGCACTATTACTGTTTTATTTTTTAGCGCTACACTTTTATATGTATGTTTTCAAAATTCTTTGTTTCAGAGTTTAGTGCTGGCAGCGTGTGATTTATTTAAACCAGCACAGATTTTTATAGTTTTATTCACATGTGAGCTTCCAACTTCATCTTGCTCAACTTAGCTTTGACAATAAAACATGGAAGCTGATTGGTTTTTATGTAGAGCTGCATCAGATTTTCAACTGATAAAAGAAATGAAGGTGCTACTACCCATCCAATGCTCATCCCAGGAACTAGACAGGTGTGTGATCCACAGTTGCTTATCTGTTCCAGAATTAAATGAAATCGATCGGCACTACAACTATTGCTCTAATATCTTCGTTTTTTTAAACCGATCACAGTAAATACATCACAGGTACAAAGGTTGACGCATTTGTTAAGCCGAAACGCGTCAAACTTTGTACCTGTGATGTTTTTACTGTGATCGGTTTAATACAATGAAGATTTTAGAGCAATGGCGGTAGTGTGGATTGATTTCATTTAATTCTGCACCAGATTTTGCACCCAGCAGTTTTAGTAAATACCCCCCAGTATGTCTATATCTAGAAATGGAAACTTTGTTCTACTAACCTATTCAACAGGTGCATGCTCAGAAAATACCCAGTACATGGACAAGAGGGATAAAACATTTTTCACTCCATTATTTGACATAGCTAAAAGTTAATGTAAAGAATGTTATTATTTGTATCGGACTAGAATAGAAATATACAGACATATACACACCTCTTACACCTTCTTACCTTAATGAGGTTGTGTCCAGCTCTGTAGCCAAGCAGTTTCTTTCCTTTGATGCCAGGGGGTAATTTACCAGTGGAATAGCCATGCCATGCCACCACATAAGGGTTGTCAATGGTAATCCAGTACTTGACATCCTTTCCAAAGAGCTTAAAGCATGCCTTGGCATAGGCTTGGAAGATGTCCACCATGGACTCATTGAGCCATCCACCATAGAGGTCCTGCAGCCTCTGCGGTAAGTCCCAGTGGTAGAGGGTGACCACCGGCTCTATGCCCACCTCCTTCAGCCTGTCAATGAGTGCCCGGTAATAGGAGTGCCCTGCCTGGCTGTGACCATCTTCTGTCCCATTAGGGAACAGCCGGGACCAGGAGATGGAGAACCTGTAATGGGCCACCCCCAGGATCTGGAGAGCCGCCGTGTCCCTGTACAGGTTGTTGTAGCTGTCACTGGCCACATCTCCAGTGCTTCGTTCTTCTTTGTGGCAGTAGGTGTCCCAGATGGACTGAGCCCTGCCATCCTGCTGCCAGCCACCCTCCACCTGGTAGGCAGCTGTGCCCACAGACCACATGAAGCCAGGGGGGAAGGTGTCATAGAGGAACAGGTTATCCTTGGGGTAAGGCAGGCTGGCAAACCTTTCCCAGATATTCTCTGCATTCCCATGCCAGACACAGAGCCCGCATCCCCATGCCAGGCACAGCACTAGTGCCCTGACACCTGTCATCGTCCACGATTGCCTCTGCTGCTGCCACGATCCGGACAGATGGATCAGCTGCGAACCATGAGCTGCGATCAGTCCCGGATAGCAGGGAGGGAATGGCCATTAATAATTAGCAGGAGCTCAGCAAGTGCACATTGTGCGGGACTGCGCTGTGCTGCTGAGGATCACTTCTCCCTCCTCCTCAATGACATACACTATACACGGGATACACACTATACACGGGATACACACTATACACGGGATACACACTATATACAGGATACACACTATATACGGGATACACACACTATATACAGGACACACACTATATACAGGATACACACTATATACGGGATACACACTATACACACTATATACAGGAGACACACTATACACAGGGTACACACTATATACGGGATACACACTATATACGGGATACACTATATACAGGATACACATATATACAGGGTACACACTATATACGGGATACACACTATATACGGGATACACACTATACACAGGATACACTATATACAGGATACACACTATATACAGGATACACTATATACGGGGATACACACTATATACAGGGTACACTATATACAGGGTACACACTATATACGGGATACACACTATATACACAGGGTACACTATATACAGGGTACACTATATACAGGGTACACACTATACACGGGACACACTACGGATACACACAATATACGGGTACACTATATACAGGGTACACACTATACACGGGATACACACTATATACAGGATTACACTATATACAGGGTACACACTATATACAGGGACACACACTATATACAGGATACACTATATAGGGTACATACACGGGGTACACACTATATACAGGATACACACTATATACAGGGTACACACTATATACAGGATACACTATATACAGGATACACACTATATACATGGATACACACTATATACGGGATACACACTATATACAGGATACACACTATATACAGGATACACACTATATACAGGATACACACTATATACAGGGTACACACTATATACGGGACACACACTATATACAGGATGCACACTATATACAGGATACACACTATATACACACACTATATACGGGTACACACTATATACAGGATACACACTATATACAGGGTACACAATATATACAGGATACACACTATATACAGGGTAAACTATATACACAGGATATACACACTATATACAGGATACACTATATACAGGACACACACTATACACGGGTACACACTATATACAGGACACACACTATATACAGGACACACACTATATACAGGATACACACACTATATACAGGATACACACTATATACAGGATACACACTATATACAGGATACACTATATACAGGGTACACACTATATACAGGATACACTATATACAGGATACACTATATACAATACACTATATACAGGATACACACTATATACAGGGGTACACACTATATACACACACTATATACGGAGTACACACTATACACAACACTATATACAGGATACACACTATATACAGGATACACACTATATACAGGATACACTATATACAGGATACACACTATATACGGATACACACTATATACGGAGTACACACTATATACAGGGTACACTATATACAGGGTACACACTATATACAGGGAATACACTATATACAGGATACACACTATATACAGGATACACACTATATACACGGGACACTATATACGGAGTACACACTATATACAGGATACACTATATACATGATACACACTATATACAGGACACACACTATATACAGGGTACACTATATACAGGATACACACTATATACAGGGTACACTATATACAGGACACACACTATATACAGGACACACACTATATACAGGATACACACTATATACAGGGTACACTATATACAGGATACACACTATATACAGGGTACACACTATATACAGGATACACACTATATACAGGATACACACTATATACAGGGTACACACTATATACAGGGTACACTATATACAGGGTACACACACTATATACAGGATACACACTATATACAGGATACACACACATATACAGGACACACACTATATACAGGGTACACTATATACAGGATACACACTATATACAGGATACACACATATATACAGGACACACTATATACAGGGTACACACTATATACAGGATACACACTATATACAGGACACACACTATATACAGGAGATACACTATATACAGGGACACACTATATACGGAGTACACACTATACACAGGGTACACACTATATACAGGGTACACACTATATACGGGGTACACACTATATACAGGATACACACTATATACAGGGTACACACACTATATACAGGGTACACACTATATACAGGGTACACACTATACACAGGATACACACTATATACGGGGTACACACTATATACAGGATACACACTATATACAGGATACACACTATATACAGGAGACACATATACAGGGTACACACTATATACAGGGAGACACACTATATACAGGATACACTATATACAGGATACACTATATACAGGATACACTATATACAGGAGACACTATATACAGGAGTACACACTATACAGGGATACACTATATACGGGATACACACTATATACGGGATACACACTATATACAGGATACACAAATATACAGGATACACACTATATACAGGATACACACTATATACAGGATACACACTATATACGGGTACACACTATATACGGGGTACACACTATATACGGGATACACTATATACGGGTACACACTATATACGGGATACACACTATATACGGGATACACACTATATACGGGATACACACTATATACGGGATACACACTATATACAGGGTACACACTATATACGGGATACACACTATATACGGGGTACACACTATATACGGGGTACACACTATATACGGGATACACACTATATACACACGGGATACACACTATATACGGGATACACACTATATACGGGGTACACACTATATACGGGATACACACTATATACGGGATACACTATATACGGGATACACACTATATACAGGATACACACTATATACGGGATACACACTATATACGGGATACAGGATACACTATATACGGGGTACACACTATATACAGGATACACACTATATACGGGATACACACTATATACGGGATACACACTATATATACGGGTACACACTATATACGGATATACACCATATACGGGGATACACACACTATATACGGGGTACACACCATATACGGGATGCACACACTATATACGGGATACACCATATATACGGATACACACCATATACGGGATACACACTAATACATATATACGGGATACACACTATATACGGGATACCACACTATATACGGGATACACACTATATACAGGATACACACTATATATAGGATACACACTATATACAGGGTACACACTATATACAGGGTACACACTATATACGGGATACACACACTATATACGGGATACACACTATATACAGGATACACACTATATACAGGGTACACACTATATACAGGATACAGGATACAGGATACACACTATATACGGGATACACACTATATACGGGATACACACTATATATACGGGATACACACTATACACACTACGGGATATACACACACATATACGGGATACACACTATATACGGGATACACACCATATACAGGATACACCATATACGGGATACACACCATATACGGGATACACACCATATACGGGTACACACCATATACGGGATACACACTATATACGGGGATACACACTATATAAGGAGACACACTATATACAGGATACACACTATATACAGGGTACACACTATATACAGGGTACACACTATATACAGGGTACACACTATACACAGGATACACTATATACAGGATACACTATATATACGGATACACACTATATACAGGATACACACTATATACAGGATACACACTATATACAGGGTACACACTATACACAGGATACACACTATACACAGGATACACAACTATATACAGGATACACACTATATACGGGATACAAACTACTATATACGGGATACACACTATATACGGGGATAAACCATATACGGGATACACACTATATACAGGGTACACACTATATACAGGGTACACAATACACAGGATACACACTATATACAGGATACACACTATATACAGGATACACACTATATACAGGATACACACAGGGTACACACTATATACACAGGATAACACACTATATACAGGATACACAAACAACTATATACAGGATACACACTATATACGGGAGACACACTATATACAGGATACACACTACAGGGATATATACAGGATACACACTATATACAGGATACAAACTACAGGATACACACTATATACAGGACACAAACTACAGGATACGCACTATATACAGGATACACACTATATATATACAAAACTACAGGATACACACTATATACAGGATACAAACTACAGGATACACACTATATACAGGATACACACTATATACAGGATACACTATACAGGATACAAACTACAGGATACAACTATATACAGGATACACAGGATACACACTATATACAGGATACACACTATATACAGGATACAAACTACAGGATACACACTATATACAGGACACAAACTACAGGATACACACTATATACAGGATACACACTATATACAGGACACAAACACACTACAGGATACACACTATATACAGGATACACACTATATACAGGACACAAACTACAGGATACACACTATATACAGGATACACACTATATATACAGTATACACACTATATACAGGATACACACTATATACAGGGCA